TACCTTCTCCATGGCTATTTGGGCTACAGCTCAAGCTGGAGAGACAGCTAAACATGTTGAAAAACATTTATATAGTTCTTTTGCTGTACTTGGAGTGCCAAGAAAGATCAAAACAGACAATGGTCCAGCAATATTTCTGGACGCTTCCAACACTTCTGTATCTTATGGAGCATTAAGCACTGCACAGGAATTCCACACTCTCCCACTGGACAAGCAATCATTGAACGAGCTCATCAAACTCTGAAGCAAATGCTTCAAAAACAAAAAGGGGGAATGTCAAGTATGATGCCAGCTGAACAAAGTTTTATGTATTTTGAATTTTTTGAGGCTTACAGGAGAACGTCAAGAACCACAAATGATGATTCACAGTTTAGCAATAAAGGGTGATGCTGAACAATCTATGGGCACACAGCAACCGTTAGTTATGTTTAAAAATTTAAATACTGGGCAAGGGGAAAGACCTGTTAAAGTACGATTAACTGGCAGAGGTTATATGTGTGTGCTTACAGATCATGGCTTACGGTAGGTTCCATCTCAATTGGGTGTGGCCTTGGAAAGAAGGTCAAGCTCACAATCCTAAACCTTGCAATGGTTCTAATTGATTAATGCTCATAAATTCTGAATGTGTTTATTGAAATCCCTTCCAAACCAGTAGGGGCCCAAGTTATGTAGGAAAGTTAACTATGTTCACAGGATAGTTGAGAAGTTGTTACAAGGGGGAATTGTTGAAGTTGTTAAAATTGTTGGAATTGTTAGAATTGTTATGTTTGTTATTATTTTGCCATGCTTAGTTTGTTGTATTAACAATCATTGCAAAAAAGCCCACACAGAATGTGGATTGCTCAAAAACAAAAAGAGGGATATGTTGGGAGATAATGGACATGTGAGCAATCCTACACATGTGCACGCCTCGGCAAGGACATAGAACGAAGAACTCAGCAACCAACTCCAGGAGATGGGTTGGGCGGAGAAAGACATTTGAGTGTGGCGCTTATTATCCAATCGTGAGAAGGCTTGAAGCACGTGGACAAAGCTAACTGTCCAGTCATAAGGACTGCACCATGTACCGTTCGCGTGCACAGGAGAAACCTATAAAAGGGCTTGCTTACCTTCAATAAATTGGCATTGCTTGATCATACTGGCTGTGTGCGTGTCCATATCTCCCGCAAAGGGGGACCTGGGAGAAGGAGTTGGAGTCATGGGCAGGACATGTATATGAACTCTGAGGTCAGTGGGAGGAACAGGGGAGGTGTGGCAGAGCACAGAGCCCCCCGTACCCTCTGGTGAGATGATAGGGCTGCACACACAGCCCCTGCTACCCATGGGGGTCACCAGAGGAGCAGATGCTGACTTGCAGCCTGTGGAGGACACCACACCAGAGCAGGCAGCTGCGGTTAATGGAGGCCAGGACTCTATGGGAAGAAGACACCCCTGCTGTTGTAGTTGAGTGCTAGGAGGACTGCAACACATCTTGGGGAAACGCTGCGGCCTGTGGGAGTGACTCATGTCAGAGAAAGTTCATGGAGGGCTCTCTCCCATGAGAGGGAGACCAAGCTGGAGCAGGGGAAGAAGACAAGAAGTCATGTGTCAGCCCCCTCCAGAGGGGGATGAAGTGGCAGGACTGACTATAACCCCCATTCCCTGCCCCTGTGCTGCTGGGGAGGGAGCAGATAAGAGATGTGGGGAGCAAAGCTAAGCCCAGAAGGAAATGAGGTGTGGGAGGAGATGTTTTCAAGATGTGGTAATGCTTCTCACAGTCCTACTGTCTGATAAGTGTTATTACTAGTGTCTGAATTAAATTCATATTCTTTTTTCTTCCCCTGATGAGTCTGTCTTTTGCCCATTACCATAATGGGTGAGTCACCCCTCTCTGTCCTAATGTCAATTCCTGAGCCTTTTCCTTTTTTCTCCTTCCCACACTGGGGGAGAAGAGGGGAGCGAGTGGCTGCGTGGTACTCAGCTGCCCTCTGAGCTCAATCCACAACAACTCCCATCTGATAGCACATCAATGCAGCAATTACTTTGTTTTCCCAATAGGCTTTAATTAAGGTAAGAAGGGAGCCTATAAGGACTAAGCATCCTGCCCCCTAAATTGAGTTAGACTTGTTAGGAAAAAACCCAAACATCTGGGCTTCAGCTTTCTTTAGTCATCTTTCTAGGACTATGCATAGCCTGTCTATACAAGCACTGACTCTTCCCACAGCTGTGTTACCTACTGAAATTGGGACATCTGAGCCTCTAAATAAATTCTCCCTGCCTCCCACAGACGCACTGCAGACAGTTAAAAACAAAACAACAAAAAAACCCTCCCTACAGCTGCTCCCAGCATTGCAGCAATTACACTCATAAGCATTATACCTCAACGAATGCCTCCTGTGCTGCTTAACCAGCTGCTAATACAACTGAAAATGAATTACAGACAGTGACTGGGGGGGGTCTGACATGATTCAGTCAAAGGTAGATATTTTGTGTGTGTGTATGCTGTGTTTAAAGGAGGGAACTTTACGAGGCCAGCCTGAGACTTCTCCATCATCTTTTCTATCCCACAGCCATTTATTTTTCAATGTAACACTAGAGAAAGTGGATGGCAAAAATGTGATGGGATGCTGCTCAGTGCCCACAGCCCCCTTGTGTTAGGTTTAAAACTGTCAAAGCACAGAGGCTCACAGACCCCCTTAATTGCTCCCCTGCCGATAAAAATATGGGCTCTGATTACAAGACAAGATGTTCTGAGTTGGATATTTTATGTATTGGAAAGAAATTGTACATATGGGTGCTTTGTATCTGCACCTTCTGTGCAGCTAACTGACAAAACAGAGCTTAGATGGGAAATAGTCTTCTCTGTCAAGACATACAGTGGAGTTAACTAAAGTGGTGTCAGACTCAGTAGATATATATAGATAAAATGTAAATTAGAAATCGAATTTCTTCTTATTTTTATATTCTAATCAACTTTGATGATGAAACACATGTTAATTAGTTTTCCACTGTCCTGACATACTAGAGTGTTACACCTATATTTTTGTTATAAGCACAGCAGGGAGATATTTAAATATTTGATAAAGTTGTTTACCTGGAGGTTATTAGTTTTATTAAATGATGCTTATTGAATGTAAGGCCTAGATAATGAGTGCCCTAGCATGATTTCTTTATTTGTTCTTGAATTGTTTGGGGACACCTTGATCCTGCCAACCAACACTGTTCAGCTGCAGAAGTCTGCCCTTGCAGATTTAACTGCCCGAGCTTTTGTGGGGTCCTGAACACAACCTCCCCGACTGTGGGTGTGCATTTGTCTCCAAAGTCAGTTTGAAAGATTCATCACAAATGTATGATGAAAGTTACCCTCAAGTTTGTGTTCTAAGAATTGAAGACACTCTGTCCACCAAAACAGTAACAAACCACATATGAAGATAGTGCTACCCCTTTAAGAGACTGGTAGAGAACTCTCTCAAGGAAAGCCAAAAACCTGGGATATTCTCTCAACAGAAACAGTATGATTTTGGAAACCTAACTGGGATGGCTTGAATCTTAACTTTAATTACAGGAACTTGTCTTTCAGAGCCATAAAACAGAAGCACGCCAGTAATGGAAAATGAATGCATTATTACCTGCTGTACTACCAACTTAAGGCCACAAAATTAAATACAAAGTCTAGTAGGAGAGGACCTAGGTTGAATGCAGGAACATTAATCTGATACACTTTGAAAACTTCATGATGAATGGGACAAATTTAACAAAAAAGGTATGTATTAAATTAGATGCTTAACAAGATGAAAGTACTTTTGCAGTGTAACTAACTGAGCAGTTAACGTGCGCTGAAGTCATGTTTTTGCTTAGGACATCCTTGAGATGAAGACATACTGAAAGGAGAGAGAGATGTTATGAGTATGTGCAATTGGAATTGTATTAGTGAAGGGAGCTTGAGGGAACATAAAGTTTGTGTTGCCTTACACCAGATTGGGAGAGTGTAGGAAGAGGGCTGGAGAAACATTCTGGAGTAGAAACAGGGTTCCATCAAAAGGATGAGGCCTTTTGGGATACTGATGGCTATACTGAGAAGACAGCATCTGGAAGAAGGTCTGGATGTCTGGAAAACGTGTATACGGGGATGAGATGGTAAGCAAGCATAGCGTGGCATGGATACAAAGAATCTGGTAGTTACCCTGTCCAGGAACAGCTGGTGGAACTGAGTGGCTGTGGGTCTCCAAGGGCAGGACTTGGGGAGAGCTTGCGCCTGCTGCTGGCTGGCTGGAAAGCGTTTGCATACGAGAGGACCGGCTGTTTCCAGAGGATTGTTCTTCACCACTCTGACCTCTTCCATCCTGCTTTGTGCCATTGTGGCTGCCAGCGAGCAAGCCATTTGCATGCTCTAGCTTGCCTTTTATGTATATTCAGAGATTTTTTTTTTTTCTGTTTTTAATGTCTACTCCAGCTGGACTGAAGCCAAACAGTATCCAACACCCACACCACTCACCCCACCAGCAATTCACATCCCGAACCCATGAGGCTGCAGCAGTCAGGCAGCCAAGTTTAGCAACGGCTTTCGGGTGCCCTGAAAAGGGCCCTTCTCACAGCCCTGCGTTCCCTCAGCACCCCCATGCTGCTGGCCTCCATTTTAAGGCCCACCGCCATGCCCATGCTTGGTGTGAGGGGCTGACGGCACCTGCTTCTCCTCAGGCGCACCCCGCATTCCTTCTCTGAGCGAACTGGGCATGTTTAACCGTGGACTGGTTTGGTTTGGTTCGGTTTGGTTTGGCGCGGCCCGCCCTCAGCCCAGCGCGCCGCCACTCCCTCACAGCTCCACAAACCACCCCACCGCCCTGCTCAGGTGAGCCTACTGCCGATTGGCCAGCGCTACTGCTACCCCCGCCTTACCGCCCTACTGCGATTGGCCTATCCTTCAAACGGCCACTTATGATTGGGTGGCTCTGCGGGCAATCTTTCACCCTTCGGCGTCTCGATTGGCTGTGTGCGGGAGGTAGGGCGGGCCTCTCCCGCACGGAGCCCGCTGCCCTCGCAGTGACTTTCCCCGCGGGCTGTGGCCGGCCGTGGCCGTGGCCGTGGCCGTGGCCGCCGCGATGGAGCTCTCCTGCCAAACGCTGAGAACCACCCACCGGGCGAGGGAGGCGGTAAGAACCGGCAGGACGGGCGGCCGCGCGGCCGCGTTGCCATGGAAATCGGGAGGGGCGTTTCTGCGCAGGCGCAGGGGAGCGGCGCGCAGTGCGCAGGCGGGAAAGGGCCGGGGGGGGCGGTTGGCAGTGACACGCCGGCGGAGGTATTGCTGAGTGTTTTATCCACCTGGAGGTGGCTCTGGCTCTCCCTCGGGGTGGGGACTTGGCGCACTCCTCCCTTCTCGTTTCCCTTCCCTGTACAGGAGGGAAGTGCTGCTTGTCCTCGCCGCTCCGCGCCGCAGGGCAGGGCCCCTTGCTCCCCTGGTCACAGCAGGAGCAGGTGCACCCGAGGAGGACAAGCCCGTATTCCGCCCCCAGGTCCCTTTTTGTAAATCAGGGCTGTACACTCCCACTATGCCTCCGTCCCACGGATGGGTCGGGCTCCAGCAAGCCCAGAAGCAGCAGGATTTTGCTACATTTCTTAATCTGTTCTTTTGCTTCCATCTGCCGGTCAGATTCAACTAGAGTTAAGACTATGAAGCTGCACTGCAGGACCTTCCCAGAAAGGTGTTAGGTGATCTGTATGCATAAACAAGTCCCCACTATGCATGGATAGCACTGGATTGCTCACGAAAAGGTAGTTTGGGGAGAGGTTCTGAGCCCGACTTTTAGGTTATGTCAACCTCTGATTAGTAGATGATATATTTACCTAGGAATGGGAGCCTCCAGCACAGTCTCTGACCCCTAAAGTGAATTCGGATCCTAACCACTGACGGTGGTGCCCTAAAGTGTGGTATTAAAACGGTGTTTTAATGTGCAGAAGGAAGACGAGAGGGAAAAGGGGTCTGATTCGGATTTGGGTGGCCCTGGTCCCAAGGATGGGTGTGACTACTAAATGCAGAAACAACGATGGGAATAGGACCTGGAGCTCAAGAACTGTTCCCTGTGAGCTGTACCATTGTGTTTGGGTTGTTTTGCCTTGAAAACTGACTTCTTCATGGCATTTCACAAGATGGACATGAAATTGGAGTTTATACTTTGGGTATAGAGTAGAGGGAGGTGTTCATATTCTGCAGAGGGCAGAAGTTTGGAGTCTACTTTTTCTTAAGCCAGTCGTCTAGAACTGACTAAGAAACACCCTGAAGCTACTGAAAGGATTCTCTGATTCTTGCTCTAAGGTTCTTGACTTCGTTGGAGGGAGCCTAGATACTTAATTTCTGTTTTCTGAATTGCAGTATTTCAATGCAGTACCTAAAAGTTAGGCTGCTACATCATTAATTTGTAGCACTAAATAATTACTGGAATTTCTGCCTGTATCTGTAATGCATTGTCCATTAATGTATTCTATATAATGGAAATCATTATTTTATAGCAATTTTGGGGAAAAGGGTTTAAAAAAATGTGCATAAATTATATTATTTGGCTGTTCTTGGCCATCCAGTGTAGTTTTACTATCAAAGAAATTTGTGAGGCATTTCACTGGTTTTAGTTGTTAAATATTTCCTATGTTTGTTCTGTTAAATATTCTTGACAGAATATTATTGTAAATTTCAGTAGAACTTTGCAAATTCATACAAATGGGAGAGTTAGTGCTTATTAGTTAATTTGTAAATTCAGCATCCTTTATTTGTATCATTTAATAATTCACCATACTTTGTGTCTACTCATTTTTATGTATTCATAATATATATCACTTCAAATTAGTGAAGTCTTGGCAGTGTAAATCCTGGCTTCAGCACTGTTCCTGTTAAAAGAGGGAGAAAACAGTGGTCTGTGAGTGGCTCAGCATTGGCGCATGAATTAATGAAGGACAGCATGTAACTATTGCAGTGGGGGGAGGAATCAGAAGTTGTTTTTTTTTCAGCACACAAAACTCAATTTATAAAATGTCTTTAGATTTTAAACGTAACGTCTCTCGCATGCATCCTAGTGTTGCTACTAGGACAGTTGAACTTCTGTGGTGAGCTTGCTGTATGTCTTTAATTATGAAAGCTATTTGTAATCCTTCTTGAGAAACTTTGCCAGCTCTATTGTTTGCAGCAGGCTTGTATAATCTGGAAGAGAGAAGAGAGTAAAGAATCGCCTTTTCTTTGTGCTGGGAAATCCTATTCAATGGCAGTCAAGTTATACCTTGTTTAAAACTCACCCTTCTCTGTCTGTTTTTCTCAAAAAAATACTGTCACCAAGCCAAGCAATAATTGAACATCAGACTTTTAAAAAGCCTGGCAAGGCTGCAAATACAAGATGCAGAGGACTAAGGGAGAGGGAAAGCTGTGGTGATACAGTGGTGGAGGGAGGAGGAAAACTGGGTGAGCCTGTCATGCCTCAGCTACTCTATATCCTGGCACAGCTTGGTCTGAGGAACCTCATACTTGGCAGCTATCTGGGGATCCCAACAGCACAAGGGGGAAAGGACACTGTGTGTGTATTAGGATAAGATCTTTCCCTGTGTGATTACAGAGCTAACCACATGCCTCTTGTCTGAATTCTTGATCACAGATCCCTCTGAACTCATCTTGACTGCTTCAGTTGAATGTACAAGGGCACAGTATTACCATAGTAAACATTTCCAAGCTTTTCAGACTGTAACTTTTTTCTTCATGCTATCAAATATAGTCACGCAGAGATATAGGCTCAAATGATAATGAAACATTATAAGGTTAAATTAATCTTTTAGTAGGTCCATTAATTTGATGGAATTACACGAGAGACTAGGTTGATTTATAATGTAAATGCATTTTAGTAAAAGGTATGGAGATGACTAAATGAACAATTACATTTAAAGATGCAGGACTCTTAACAGTGTAATTTTAAATGTCTGAAAAGAAAGGAATACTTACTACTTTTGTTAAGATAGAAATAAATAAAATACACTGTGTTGGAGCTAATCAGTTAAGTGCTCAACTGTTTAGTTTTTAAAACAAGATCACACTCAAGTGCCTTAAGCTTTTATTAATTGCATGGACCCCAAAATCCCCTATAGTAATTGAAAATTTAATTACATACATTTTTTGTTCTTTTAAGAATGGAAGCTTATTAAACTTTAAACACTTAAACATCTATTGAAATACCAGTGGCTATAAACAACATGCAATTCTAAATACTAATTAAACAGGAAGGCTAAATCACTATAAAGCTAAACTGAATTTTAAGTAACTTTGCACTCGTAAGTACTCCAATTTTTTTCATGCTGCATAAGATTTACCATTTTCTCTCTAAGCACAGCTGAAGTCCTGGGCAGTGTTAATATCTGTACTGTGGCAGGCATGTTGTTTTGTGGATATACTTGCAGTGGGAATCAGTCCTTAGAGAATAAACTGGAGTTCAGGAAAGGAGACCAGCACGGGCAGAGAGCTGTGAGTGGACAGCTAAAGCTGCTGGTGGCACTGACACACGTAGAGGTTCACTTACCTCCTGTAATGAGTACGTGCTAAAATAAGATTGGTGAAAGACAGGGAGATGTGGCTTTGTGGGGTTGGTCAAGAAAGCAATGATTTGTGTGCTGCTGACTCACAAGGTTTTTGATTTGGTAACAGTTGCGTGTCGAAAGGTCATTAATTTTTGTTTTATAGAAACTCCATGGAACTGGGATCAGAGATTTTAACATCTCTGTTCTGTTTTTCAGATCCAGTCTAATGCAAGTCTTTGTCAGTTAATCAGCTGATTAATGACTCTAGTTAATTTTCTTTGGACAGATGTCTGATTCCTCAAATTAACGACTGCTTTTCGCATTTGTATTAACACAGGGTAAAGACAGAATGAACATCTCAGTCTAAAGCATCTCCTGATTTTTAGGTGGGGCTTTTTTTTGAGGTAAAGGTTCACTTTCACTTCTGTTTGGTCAGTGCAACAGGATGAATATCAGTATGTTAAGGCTGAACTGGGTTGCACAAACATAGACAAAATGTTATCCTATACCCAAAGCAGGTCATTACTTAGAATATTTGTGATGCTGCCCATCACTCTATCACTATTTATACTAGAATTTAAAATGCCTTTAAGGATATCAGGAGTAACCTAGTGAGATGCACACCAACAGAAGACATATCAGAATGCAAATTCTTTGCAAGGAAATTTCCAGTGAAGTATTGTGAGCCCTGTCAGCTCATCAGGCAGATGCAATTCCTCTCTCATCAGACTATTACTGTAAATACTAAAACATGAAACATTTGGTGGGTTTGTCTTCTATGGCAACCACTATGTTTTCAAACTGTGTTTAAATATTCAGAGGTAGCTGTGATCTTACTTTTTGTTATGTGGCAAACACAACAGTCCATTTTTCTCAGCATAAAACAGCAGGAGTAGTTACATTTAGAAGACAGGTGGGACTCTCAATGAGTGATGACTCCAGCTTCCTTCTTGCACATCCAAGCTTGATTCAGAAGATTCAGATGATCCAGGTGAAATGGTGAAAGGTCCACAATTCAAAATGTATTTTCCAAACACCAGCATCTCAAAACAGTGAGAATGAAAAGATCTTTCATCCCAGGATGTCGCTGTCTTCTCTTTGCTCATGGCAGTTCCCAGAATTGGTTCGTTTCTTGTAACACCTCTCAGGAACAAGTCAACTTCATTCAAGAGTTACTGATCTACCAATCATTTATACATCACTCTTCCTCCCTAAAATGGTTAGAAAAATCTTTGTACCACCACTGAAAGGCAAACAGTGTTGTAGCTTCCTTATGGACTCAGAGCGGCCGCATAACTTTATCAAGGGGGTTTTAAAGATAGTAAAGTCTAGAAGTGGGGTATGGTTTCTTCCCTTTTCCCCAGTCAATTTAATTCTTCTCTCTCAAACACCAGAATGTGGATTCTACCGATCTTTCTATTAATACAAACACACTTTCACCCCACAGGAAACGTTAAAAGCAAACCCCCAGCCCTTTCTTAGTTGTGTCACTAGATGGCCCCACATCTGAAAATATATGCTATACTGGGACACCTTTTGTCTGCTCTACCCAGTACTTTTTACTCGTTGACGAACACACAGAGAGGTGTTAGGTTTTTTTTTTTTAAAAAACCCTATCGCTGATTGTGCTGCCACAAGTGTTTAAATTAGCATCAGAATGCTATATGATACCCACTGCTATGTACAGCGCAGGGGGAGCAGTTAGGTCTAATCTGATAAAGGAAAGGCACACTAAAGAGGTAAATTGGACTTGCAGTACTGCACCAGCCAAAAACACCTCTGCATGTAGGAATAAGTGATTCTCTGATATCCACAGTTTACTATAATGATGCTTCCTTCCAAGAGACCAGAAGGAGAATAGCGTAATTGTCTTTGTGTATGGATATGCCTTTTACACATCTTGTGGGATTTGAAAGCATAAGCCTTGGTCAGTAGTAATTCTTTGGCTTGTTCGTGTGCCAGGCACTGGCAGAGAGCAGCAGAAGTAATTTTTTACAGACGCTGGGGCTCTATTTCCAGTATGAAGAGGATAAAGATTTGTGGATCTGTCACGTGGAGGTTCCTAACACTTGAGCTAGGCTTTTTCTTGGGAGAGGATACAGAAAGGAGGGAAACTGGGGGTGGAAGCAGGAGTCTGTGTGTGCATTAGTATGCAACATGATCAGAATTATATATGTGCTATGCAAGCAACAGAAACTACTGCTCTTTCTCCATCCACTGAATAAATGTCACTCTTTCATGCTCACACTGGGTCCTCGTAAGTAATCATAGAATGATAGAATACCTCAAGTTGGCAGGGACCCATAAGGATCAGCAAGTCTAACTCTCAGTGCTGAAGGTCAGCATCTTAAAAGAGAAAAGAAATAATTCATTTGGCTAAATGCAGGCTTGGCCATACCTGCTTTTCCTGCAGTTCCAGCTTCAAACCCAATGAGACAGACCGAAGTCGATATGCTGATTTCTAGAGCTTTCCTTGTAGCAACTTCTGTTATAACTAAATCTCAGGGTTTCTCTGCAGACACTCTGCATATATGGCATGTTTCAGCAGCATAAGGCTTTGTTCCAGTATCTTACAAGATTTCTGCTTCCATCACCCCCTTTGCTCTACTTGATATTCCACTTTATGCTCCCCCCCCCCCCCCCCATGTAGCATCACTGAATGATGATAAAGATGTTTTGCACTGCCTTGTTTTTATCATTACACCATTTGTGAATGACGTTGGGTTGTCCAATCTGTGTGAAGAAAACTGTAGGACTGACTCCATATTGAAATTTCTGCATGTTGGGTCCTGAGTTTGGTCTATCCTGTGTTAAAATTGGGCAATGTTATGTCAAACTTCTGATTCTTCAAGTACTCTGTATTTCACTTGTGTTTTTATGTCAAGGTCCATGAATTGGGAAAGGCCAAGAGTATACAGCTGGTCTTTGTAGTGTAGTTATGCAGATCCCAGACCTTTTCTCCATCCTGAATTCTCCCAGCACTCAGAAAATGGGTTTCCAGTTTCTAAGAGGGAGGGACATGGCCATGCTGGAGCACAAGACTTCCTTGCACAGCCCTTGGAGACACTATGCATGAAGTCTGCAAGAGTCCTACCCTGAAATTCATAGCAGCCTGAACATGTTGGAGAGCTATAACCATAGTAAGGGAAGTAAGTAATTTTTTCCAACTTCAAAGTAATTTTCTCTTCTCTAGGAAGAGGTTTCTACCCATCCAGTAGCCCTGATAATGTGTAAGAAAAATTACATTGAAAACCACTTTCCTTCTGTTTATTAACAGTGAGTTGTTTTACAGTTCTTACATGCTGTTGTCTTAATTTGTTTGTTTCCACAGGCTACATTTAGATGCTGTTTACAGCAATAAAGAGAATATTACATTTGATCTAGAGTTCTGTCTTAATTCACAGGATGAGATGCGAACAGAAGCTCGTCGAAAAAACCTCCTCATTCTAATTTTGCATTATTTAATGGAGGAAGGGTATGTTTTTAAAATAATGCTGCTCTATGTTTGTGGGGTTTTGTGTGTCTGACCTCCCATGTGTCCTTCTGACCTCTGTTGGGTGGATCGACAGCATGGTCCCTTGGCTTAATGTGAGGAGGAGGTAAACTACTATTCATATCTTGGCAGTTTACTTTGCTATATTGTTTCAGTTTCTGGAACAAAAATGTCCTATATAATTTAAAAATACTTTCAAGCAATCAGAAAATTACTTTTAAATAGGGTATACGCTTTTATAACAAATAAAGTTGTGGACAGGTTAAAAATATCATATACTTAGTAATGCCATTGTTTGCTGTTTCTGTCAGAAATTAGGATAAGATAATAACACTCAGTGTTTTGATCTTTGCTTTTTGAAATTACCAGGTATGTCGATGCTGCAAATGCTTTGGAACAAGAGACAAAATTAAGTTTACGTGGCTTTGAAGTTTGTGACAACATTGATCTTGAGACAATTTTGATGGAATATGAAAGCTATTACTTTGTAAAATTTCAAAAATATCCTAAAATTACTAGAAAGGTCCTGGACACTGGTATGTGGCTGTTTTCCAAAAAGAAAGCTTTTGTTTCTCAAAGCCTAAAACATATATTTGCCTGATATACTTACCACCCTTCTTGTGTATGTCAGTGTTTAATGTTTGAACTCTCTTACAGTTACAGATCTATAGTTCTAGCACATGGGACATAAGATTTGAGAGATGAAACTTTGAGCCCTTCTGTTCTTCCTTCTCTCTTTATATAGAGAAAAAAGAAGGTGATATTTTGCTGTGTTTTAAAAACTCCTTTGATATTGGAAAATGCCATGTAAGCACAAAGTGTTATGGTATAGATACATGCACTTTCTTCTCATGGGGAGAACATAGTCTGTTCTATCTTGGATTTAATTTTTAAATTAAAATGACACACTTAAATGAAATACTGTAACTTTGCTTATCCAAGCTATTGCTTAAAAATTTATCACCACTAGTCTCATTAACCATTTATTTTGCACATTTTCATATACTAAAGGTAATGTGCCAAACAAGTCATAGGTTTATCTGCTCCAAAGGCCTTCAAGTCTGGGGTATAGATAAATGATACAGAATAAGGCAAATGAGAACATGAGTGTTTTGCTATGACTCTGAGAGCCTGAAAGTTTTGTACTTGAGCACAAAATGTGACTTATAGAAGCCATAAGAAAAAGCTGTATAAGAGTCACTTATAAAGAGCTTGGAGGATGCAGAAAACATCAACATCTCTTGCCTGTTTGTCTCGTAAGAAAAATATAACATTAGAGGAGGGGATGATTGGCTAGGGAACATCCCTGAGCAGTCATCATTGTTTCGTATGGCTGCCAGCTACTCTGAAATCACAGGTAAATGAAACATCATACAAATATAATAAAATTACCTGTATGGGTGAAACGATTTTTAAAGGTACTAAAGCTACTAGTCATCATTACATTCACAGTGATGCAGAAGATCAGTACTAGCTGGAAGCAAGCGTTATCTGCATGACAAAGATTTACAGCTAGAACCTATTGATTGGCATTAATACAAAGAGGAGCAGTCTTGCAGGACAAAACCAAAGGGATTTGTTACGAATCAAGAAGGAAAATGTATTTTGCAAAGCGTTCATCACGTTATACTTAGTCAGACTGAGTGGTCGCCAAGTCTCGATCCATGATCCAAGTGAACAATTCCCAGAAAGCCACTCTTAGACACTTAACGAGCTCTTAGTACCCATTTTTTGGACAATAAAGCTACTCAGGCATGGAGCACTCTGACATTACCCAAGCCCAGAATGGCAGCCATGCTAGCTGGGGGGTATCATCTCTTTTCTGCCTAAGCAGCCTCCCTCCCGCATGTGTCTCTCTAGAGTAGCTGCTGCCTGGTTCATTGTGACCTGCCTTAAACCGTGTCCATGGTCAGGTCACGGTATACGCAGGCTGAACAAAATGATTAGGGTGGCAGTCCTTACTACTAAATTCTTTGTAATACTCCCAGCAAATCCTACAGAATCAACTCATTTCCATGCAGAATTGCACTTTGCAGTGTTGTAGATGTACCCACAGGATTACAAGTTTCAGGCATGGGCTCTGCTGCCTTGAGGTACGCTGCGTTCCCAAACTCCTTCAGTGAAAGAGCTGTTTGGGAAGGATTATTATATGTAAGTGTATGAGAATCTGGGTGCAAGAGCATTGAACAGAGAACACTGATGGGAGATGTATTTTGGAACAACTAGGGGCATGCTAGCATGATACAAACCCTCGGCTTTATCAGTTGCCATCTGGGCTTTGTGAGTTTGACACAATTTGATAACCAGCATTGCAATGTGACATTTATGCTGTCTTGGTATGTTGAACATGATAAAATTACTACTAAGAAGAGTGATGCAAATTCTTATTTCCCAATTCAGCAAAGAAAAAAATATTAGCATTAAATAAGCATTCTGTGTGATATATTAAATTAATTTATTGTTCATAATCTAATTTCTGGTAGTGTCCATTTTACTGTAAAAATTATACTAGTTTTAAAATGTAAGCAAAGAAGCTAGAGACTGAATGAGCCTTAAAATTTAACAAGCCTGAAGCCAAACTGCTATCTCCAATATCAGTTTGCTTTCAAAACGTTTTTGCAAGCTTGCATTGCTTGTAATCATACTGTTCCTGCTTATGCATTTCTATTTCCGACATCATTAATGTGTGCTCAAAAATATTTTTGAAGGGGGAAAAAAATCAAGTTGCCCTTTTTTATATCCTTAATTATTTTCTATTTTAATATTAATTTTGCCACAGCAGAAAATAAACAACAGCTGAGAACTGAGGGAAGACCAAGAAGGTAAGAGAAATGTGTGGGTATTTTTCTGGGCAGAAAATTTTCCTATAAAGCAATATGCAGCGCGGTTAAAATAACTGTGATACCATAGAAATACTAAAGCCTAGAGTCACACTGCTGACTGCGTGGTGCATTTTTCTGTATCTTTTAGGGGAAAACAAAGACTTATTTCCCAAATGGAGATACAGACAATTTACAAAGTTTCTACAGTGTTGTTGATGTAGGGTGCTGTGTTTGAAAGCAGTCAGCATTGAACTTGTCTGTGATTAAAATCGATGCCTTAACTTCAGTGGGAGAAAAGTTAGCCCAAAACTGCTTTATTTCAGAACTCTTGCCTTTTAGTATTTTGAAGGAAAAAAGAAGCTGTGAAAGCCTTTCAAGATGTTATATTTTTTTTAATTCTAGGGCAGCAAGCTCTTCTCAGAGTTTCCCAAGGCTTAAACATCAGACTGTGCAACGACCGTTGTCAAAAACTTCACCTGGGAGTACAACAGAATTTAAATCTTCTACCAAGGAGACCCTCAAACAGGTTTAAACGTGTTTTATCGTGGCAGCATTACAGTTGAAGTTAATGTGATTTTATTTTTAAAGGCTATAAGCAGCAAGAAGATGCAAGTTACACAATTATTAATTGTTACACAATTATTAATTGTGTAACTAATGGGTTTTACCAGTTATGTCATTTAAGGATTATAGATGCAAGAGTTCAGGAGAATATATTTTCTGGCTGTGAGTTTGGGAGCAAATCACAGGCAAAAATTAAAGGAAATGGAATCATATAATCCAACCTATACTGAAAGCAACCAGAGTTTTCCCATTAACACCAGCAGATTGATCCTTTAGTGCCAGAAAGCAAGACAAACCAACCAAATAGAAAGAATGATGTCAGCTATAATCATCTTCATAGTGTTTGAGATTGGGGGAGTAATTTGGGTCTCTAATTTTCAGTTTGATGAGTCTCATTTTGGTGAGATTGCTGTGAAAACTATTACCATTTCTTATAGAGGAAGGATTGGGAACAACAGGTGGGTGGGCAAGCACCGTTTGTTACAGCTTTTGAGGAACTGCGAGAAGGAGAACCTCTTTTTTTTCTTTAAGTCCTTGTCCATATTCCTGTACAGGGTGGCTCTCACCACTGACCTGTTCTCTCACCCTTTAAAAAACAGGTTTTGGACACTACAGCAGTGACTGCTATGAAGTGAATGTCAAAGTAACTTGTCATCCTAAAATGGCTCCTCATTTCTGAGTTGACACATTGTGCCTTCTACTTGCTTGCAGTTTCCACTGTTCATTAAGTGTTTCTGCACATAGCTATGTGAAATGTGGATTTCTACAACTTAGAATGAAATGTAATAATAATAACAACGCGTATGAAATAACTTGAATGCTGAGCTCTAGAGCCATGGCTAAATGTACCATAACTAAATGTACAGTGGTGTCTGACAATATGGGATTACTGTTGCAACTACCATGTAATGATACAGCTCATCTGGGCATGTATGAAGAAGTAGGATGATACCTATAATGGGATAACTGTAACTCATCTTCTTAGCAATACATCTGTTTAAAAAATTGATTTTTCTTTAGGATAATGACAGTGCAGTTACTCTGGAGCAATCTCACTTTGGCTTAAGCATCGCAGCAATCAACAAAACTGGAGGAGACAGCACTCACCCAAGAAGGGTTGGTGGAAACCTATCGTGTGGTTTATGGTAGAAATGTGTATGTAGAAAAAACACATGGAAGTTTTTCACAAATCTCAAATGTGAGCTTTTTCTGTCTATTTTTATACAAAATGTTACTGTATAATTTATGATTTGGGCGGTAATTCTTTGCACAGGAGACTCTGCTTGCATTAAATAGTATTTCAAACATCATAAAGAAGGAAAAATATTTCTGGTTTTAAAACCCAGGGGTTAATAGCTAAAATTAAAGATAAATTTCAAATTCCCAAATGAGATGATAAGAGGCTTTGCAGTGAAATTGTTGCAGTGACTGAGGACATGTGTGGGTTTTTTCCCATTGCTAACACAGGTTCTGTGGTCAGTTTTTGCCATGTTTAGGACTTTATGTGCAGCAAGGAAACTAATTGCGATAATGGCAAGCAAAATTTGGTCCACAGCAGTTCTAATAGTTAAAGCCTATCAAAACATTATTTTCTCCTTTAGGGCCAAGTAATTGACTTCCATAGGATGATTCAGGATGCTGTCAAAGTATCATCAAATGGAATAGCCTTGAAGAGCCTTAATTGTGATCCAGATCCTTCAGTAAGTGCTTCTGTTCATACTTCCATCCAGTGACCATGAACATCAGTTTCATATAGCCAGGAACAAAATAAAACACCACAGTGATGTTGTCTTTGTTCCCAAGTGCTAAAAAAAGGGCTTAGATTTCTGAGTGGTGTATTCCCTTCTTGAGTCATACTTGATACAAGTCTAATTTGTAGACAGTTGTTTCCTCTTTGAACAAGACAACAAATACAAGTGATACCTTATGATTCACCAAAAAAACACCCCAAAACTGCAGAAACCTACAGAACATCTGAAGGTGAAATTCTAGTTCCTTTGAATTCAGTACATTATTTATGTTATTCAGCGCGAGGTAGTGTTTACCTCAGCTGAGGCAAGAACAGAGTTTTGTTGGTTAAGATAGAAAATTTTCAGTAAAGTAATCACTCAGGCATAAGCCATAGCTTCTACGACAGCACATCCAACTTACTCAGTGCCACTCCACCTGGCAACTGGTACACTTAAAGAGACTTTCAAAACAGGCTGTATGCTGACGTCGTGAACCATATTTACATTTTCATTTCTCTTAATCTACGTAGGGCATGTTTAGGACTACACGTGCAATAAGAGAGCGTCTCATTTTAGTGTTAATTCAGGATTAGATTCTGTAAAATGAAAAGATGAGTTACTGAAAATATGGCTTACTTCAAAATCTTTATTATTATCCATATTTTTACAGCTTTAAAAATTGTTACGATGTATCAGCTTTTTTGAAATTATTTCATAGTTCATCTGTTTAAAAATAATTGAAGTCTGACAAGAATTTATATTTGTCTTTTTTAGGAACGATTACTGAAACCCCTTAGTGCTTTTATTGGCATGTCTGGTGAGATGAGAGAACTTGCAACGGTTGTAAGCAAAGTAAATGGATCTCCATTTCAGTTGTATAGGGAACTTGGTTGTCTTTGTTATCTGAGAATACTGTTTGTTTCTTTTTACTGTCACTGATAGTGTTTATTCTTGAATGTGCAAGCTATTTCTCTTATCAAGCGACTCCCAACAAGTAATTTCTTTACGTGTAATGATGTTTCTTTCTGATACACAATGGGAGGACGTAATTAAGTGTTCATTTCTAATGGGGAATGTGTAATCTAATCATGCTGTACCCATGGGACTGTCATAGCTTTTCCCTTTGTTCTTATTGCTACAGTATAAGTACAATACTCCACTGGAAAGAGAGATTTAAATATATGAGCTCATACCAACTATTATGTAATGTATTATCTAACTGTGATCAAATGGAGAGAAAACCTTGATTCAACTCTGTGGGTGCAGTTTCCATTAGAGGCTTTGGTATGCAGTGTGGATGGTGTGCCTGTATGGCAGCAGTATCCTGATTCTCACTGCATCTACTAGATACCATGTACCAGAATTATTAAACGCTGATATTCCCACAGTGTTTATAATGCTGGTGATGTGCTTTGCTTTGCACTGCCTGCACGATCTGGACTCCTTGTCTCTTCTCACTTGACGCAGTGGAGAGATGCTGTTACTGTAGGCTCTGGAAGCAGTGCCCTTCCCTTGTCCCAGCACAGGAGCTGCAAGGGCAGCATCAATAATACACTGTATCCCAGGGCACACTGGGGATTTTTCCAGGACGGGTAGTTTGGCACCTGGAGGGAATCCCAACATTGTCAGCACCATTTCATTGTACTCATGAGTCAAGGTGCAGCCTAGAAAACAGGCCCTGGGCTACTGGGGATCAGCCTGGCTACGAAGCAGGTAAATACTTTGCGTGAATCACCTCCCAAACTCCACGAGGCACTTGTCCAAAAGGCTTCATGGTATCACAATATTTGATAGTGTTGTGACTCTTTCAGGATATAAGCATCAGAAAGTATCAGCTGTTGCTCCCACATACTTAAAGTCAGCTGTTCAAAAAGCCTGGAAGTCTTTTGCTGACTGATTTTGGTAAGCTGTGTATGGCCCAAATTCTTGGTCTGCAAGTTTTGCATTTGCAGTTTAGTAGAACTGAAGCCTAAGAAATTTCCAACCTTAAATTATTCTAATTCATTTCCACTCCTGTCTGGTTTTTAATTTATGGTAAACCTTTAAAATAGTGTTGTTCTTTCTGCTACTTCAGCAAAAAGCAATAGGGTTGCTTTAACCTTTGTTATGGTATGGTTTTTAAATTGTGCTGGTATGTTCCTAGTTGCTATGGTAATCAACACTGTGTAAATCAATAAAAATAAATAGCATGTGGTATCTATTTCACAACACAATCTAATTTAATTTGATAACAGTTATGGAAGTCTCTACTTAGTATCATAAATCTGATTCATCTTAATTTGCTGTTAATAGAAAGGGAAAGTGTAATCTACTCTATATAAATAATTTTTCTAATTGTATTAAATCAAATTTTCCCCTCAGATATAAGCACATAATTTTTCTTCATTCTCTGAGATCTGCCTGTTTTTACTGGAGAGAAGAATTTATCCCAACTATTTTTGCTGAGGATATGATACTTTCTGCAGAACAATTAGTCTCTGGAACACAAAGCCACAAAATATTACTAAGGCAAAGGGAAAGATTTGTAGATTTGGAAAGTTTGATGAATTAAATAAAATTAATTTAGTGAGTGCTTCAGGGCATAGACTAATTAACAACTATCTTTTGATAGATGCTTTGGGGAAAATTTTCCTCCTGTTACAGAGTTTCTCACAGCTTTTCCTGCAGCATATAAAATCTTGCATAATGTGGAGTAAATACATAGCAATTCTTCCATTACTTAGGTGCAGCCATTAAGTTACTGAGCATCAAGTTTAAACCAAACAAAAGTATCTTTACGTTGCACATGATTAAATTGTGGAACTCATTACTACAGAATAAGCAGTTCAGAAAAGAGATAAGAGAAATTCATTGAAGAATGAATGTCAAAGGGTATTTGAACTCAAAGACTAAGATGTAATTTTAATTATCCAAGTCCTTCGGCTGCAGATTTTGGTGGGTGTGAATATGAACCAACATATCACTCCTATTGCGTATACATTTTTAAAAAATGCAATACTTGCCAGCATCGGAGACAATATTAGGGTTGGTGAACCTTCGTATCGTGATAGCTCTTCATATGTTAGTTAGTTACTAAAACCAACTAACAGAAAACAGATCCAAGAAACAGAACTGCTCAGCTTATACATCTGGCAGTGTATATGTTCTTAGGGAAACTAAGGGCTTGAGGGGAAGCAAGGCACTGTGTAGCAGCTCTGTAGAAATGATTGCTGTGTATGCTTTCCTCTTGGGAGGTCCCTGGTAGGTAGGGTTAAATAATATAGTTTGTATCACTTAATAGCACTCTTATTTTATAACTGAGTCGATTCTTATACTTTGCCAGAGGTCATTACCATAGTGCAGAAAAAGTTGTACTGACAGGATGTGGTGTATGTTGCAGGACATTTATCTCCATAACCCAAATGTGAAGTGGGATGATATTATTGGACTGGATGCAGCGAAAAGGCTAGTCAAGGAAGCAGTTGTTTATCCCATAAGGGTAAGGCATTAAATAGTTTTGAAGAAAATGTTGGGCTCATTAGCATTTTCCTTCTAATTACAGTGATGTTTTAGAGTTATCACTATTTCTGTGCATTTCTAGGCAGTTCATGTTAGAACTGTTCCTGTTTCATCTGATAAAGGCATGTGTATTCTCCTATAGGAAAACAGCTTTTCAATATTAAAATTATAAGTATCGTGTTCTGTTCCTTGGCATATTTGGCAATGTTAGAGGTGCTGGATTTGGCCCATATTCAATGGATATCAAACCAATTGCATATGAAGTTTTCACTTAAAACAGATTTCAAATGATAAATATTTTTCTCAGTACTCAGATCATACATATTACATTGTTGTGCAGGGGTTTTATCCCCCTCTCTTCAAATTTCTTGGGTTTCCTGAATGTGTTAGGAGTGGTGGAGATAGGAGTAAGAATCCCCTGCATTTTGTCATAGGTGATACAGTTTTAATCCATACATTAATTTTCTGTTTCCACAGTACCCACAACTGTTTACTGGCATTCTGTCTCCTTGGAAAGGATTATTGCTGTATGGACCACCAGGTATGGAGAGCTTTATACCATATCCATTTGTTCATCACTGCCTCTGGTTTTGCCCCATGGATAAATGATTGGCGCTAATTAGATCAAACATGTTGGTAAAGAACATGTTCTGTAATGTGAAATAAAAGGAGAGATGAAAGATGATTACATCTCTCTGACACTCAGACTTGTCTGTTTGCCTTTCTCACAACACTTGACTATTTCTACACCTGAATCTTCCAAAACCAGTACTCATAGTCACCATTCAGAGGAGTGACAACTCTGGTTTTACTCAGCTTGGACCATATTAATCAAGTTTGGCTTGACCCGCTTTTCCAAAATGCTCATAAATATTGCAGTGACTCACCTTCTTAAGGAAAATGTCCTGTCTGTCTTATGCATTTGGGGGTTGTTTTGGAAATGGGGTGGAAGCTTTGCCCTCTGTGCTAGCTGGGTGTTTTCCGTGTCAGCACAGCTTCCCTGCTTCCTCTGCTCCACTCTGGCAGGAGGAGAGGGGACAGAGGCAACAAGTACCGCCTGGGTCAGGTTGCAAAGACTGTTGCTGCAGTAAACTCCATTTGTTCCTCTGAGTGTTTAAATGTACTTGCCACATAAGGTATCTGACCATTTTAGCTTGTGGTACTTCAGAATTTGGGGAATAGATCTGCAGTGCTGTCTCTCCAGACAATTCTGGAAGGCCCACAAAAATGATGCAAGGGCTGGAGCACCTTCCCTGTGAGGACAGGCTGAAAGGGTTGGGGGGGTTCAGCTGGAGCAGTGCTCAGACCTTAGAGCGGCCTCCCAGTACTTAAAGGAAAGATGGGGAGGGACTCTCTATCAGGGAGTGTAGGGATAGGACGAGGAGTAATGGTTTTAAACTAAAAAAAGGGGAGATTCAGACTGGACAGAACAAAGAAATTTTTTACAATGAGTGTGGTGAGGCCCTGGCAGAGGTTGCCCAGAGAGGTGGTGGATGCCCCATCCCTGGAAAGATTCCAGGCCAGGTTGGACGGGGCTCTGAGCAACCTGACCTAGTGAAGATGTCCCTGCCCATGGCAGGGGTTGGACTAGATGGCCTTTAGAGGTCCCTTCAAACCCAAGCCAGTCTGATTCCATGTCTTTTTTTACTGTTTTTTTTCTGACTGGTAGTAGGATGCAGGGAATTATTCAAACATTTACACTGTATTTCTTTAGAGAGTGAATTTCTTCAATGCTGTTGTTCGTAGGTACTGGAAAAACATTGCTTGCTAAGGCTGTTGCGACAGAATGCAATACAACCTTTTTCAACATATCAGCATCCACCATTGTCAGCAAATGGAGGGGTGATTCAGAAAAACTTGTCAGGGTAAGGATTATTATCATCTCATTTGTTATACTTCAACAAACATCAGGTTTCCACTTAAAGAACTGGAGTTTAACACAAAACTGGAAAGTGAGTATTCCTCTGATATAATCTTTCCTTTCTTGGACAAAATGTCTAACTCTGTATCCCATTAAAATGGGAATTATACCACTTCTGCTGGAGTCTCACAATGGATTCTTGCTGTGGAATTTTAGTTCTGTAATGTGAGATGACACAGATGTCCTGAAGGCAACAAATATTTTTGACTCACTGAATAAGAAACAGGCAAACAGATTTCCTAACTAAACTAGTGTTTGCTTAGTGACCGCTTCAAAGCGCTTCACATCCTTTTGGCAAGGATTGGCTCCTAGGCTCCCCACAAAATGTTATTTAGATTCCCAAATTCCCTACTACTCTTAGTCTTCAGGGCACAGAATTGGCAAAGTACTCCCTTGTCACAAAGATCTTATAGTCAAACGCAGATGTAGTGTTTTAAGGAAGGTAATTTGATGGTAAATGGGTAGATGTATTTTTGCATATAGACTAGCAAGTAGCATGCGTGGCTCAGCTGTGATACAAAAAAATTCAGGAGCTCAGGTGTAGCATGCTTGCCATAATGTGCCCATCCTAATCTCTCCATAATGTCCATCCTTTCAGTGTAAGAAATCCACATGCTATTAGCCTGCCTTAACACACATCTCTTGGGCTACACTTCAGATAGATACAGAGCTCTTGAGAGTGAATAATCGTAACAGATTGCACTTGGCAAATGGCACTGCAAGCATTGTTAATCTCTCTTGAAATTTAGGCAATCTCTGCAACATAATTATTCTTCACATGTCCTTTGTCCTTTAAAATGGCATATTTTTCTTCTGACATTCACCTCCTGTGTTATTTATCCCCTTGACATCTGTCTCAGTAGCTTCTTAGAAGTTTCCCTTCTGGCAGGAGTAGGGATGGGACAGCCCGTTTTTTGACACTGTCATCCAAAAGGTTTTTGAGAACATTCTGCAGCATTTGCAGTGGTATTGAGTTTGTGTCATTTTACCCTTAGTTGTGTTTTTGTCAGAATCCAAAAATGAAATGAGATGGTGGATCAGGACAGCTCTAAGATAAGTATTGTGTGAATTTATATCCTAAAATCGCACGAGGCTGGTGAAGGAATTTTCTCAAGTTGTGTGGAGTATATGTGGGTTATGTGGTCATTTGGAGGCATGTCCACTCATCTTGTTTTCCTCAATTCTCAGCTGTATTGGTGTTATTTTATGTTTTATATTTGTTAGTAAAATTGTAGACTGGTCATGGACTACTTGTGACTCTGGGCAAATAATATGCTTCGTATCCAAAGTGTAGAAAGTAATATTTTTTTAAAAAAATTTGTTTTTTCAAGTGTTCGGATTAAAAAGTGCTCGATTAGTATATATTGTTAGTAGTATTTATTTAAAAACTCAAAGAACGTTTCACTGAAGAAGAACTGACAGTATGTTCTTACTGCTAATATAAGCTTCCCTACATTTACAGTAAAATAGATGAAACATCTCCAAAGGGCAGACCCAGATTTTCAGTGTCAGCTTAATATTCCGTTTTTTAATCTTGATTGTTCAAGCGGTTTATGTTTGTTTTCACCAGGAAAAACAAAACAACTGCTTTATTCTTATCAAGAGAATTACTCCACTTCCTTTCATTGTGGTTCAGCTGACTTGTAATTTTTTTTTTTTTTCTCAAATCCTTATTTAACAAAACTACAAATGGAGCAACAACAAAAGATGATGTTTAATCTCTGATAACAATTTAAAAGTTCTCAGAATCCTCTGATAGATAATTTTCTTCTATCTCATTATTCACAGGGTACTCTGATAGGATTAGCCAGAAAGATTTACACATAAAGACAAGATTACAAGTCAAGATTCAGGGACCCTCAGCCTACCCAGAGCTTTTTTTCCCCAGCATTACCCCTCTTTATCCTAGAAGTCTGGAATGTGGGTGCTGTTATTTATCTTCTGTGCCAGTGGCCCTTAATGCCTTTTTGTGTTATTTTAGCTTTTCTTTTACGTTTATTCTTCTTTCTAAACAGGTGTTATTTGAGCTTGCCCGGTACCATGCTCCTTCCACAATTTTCCTGGATGAGCTGGACTCAGTCATGAGTCAAAGAGGCACTATTTCTGGGTAACTAATGAGATCACTTCCTATGGCTTTAGAAGAATCTTTGTCCCCCTTTTACTGCATCTTTTCAATATCATGTGTGTGTGTTCAGGTGCCGACCGGTGTTTAATCATGCAGTGTACCTGTTAGAAATAAATCTTAGCTAAACTAAAGCCTAAGGCTACTCCATAAACTCTGGGCGCTTGAAAAACTTGTCTTTTAGATTTTGTTGACATTATAATTAGAGGGGTAACGGCAGTTTTCTTTACTTTTTATTAAGCAATTTTTCTTTTGTTCTGTTGTCAACTTTAGTTTAGTGTCAACCAGTGTGCTATTGTCAGAATGCCTATCAGCTCTGAAAGCACCATTTCATGGAAGTGTTGTATACGCTGTGGGGATGTAAAGAGCAAGATGTAGTGGTTGTTTCATTCAGAGTAGATGAGATCCTTAGAGAAGCAAGAGTGAAAGACAGGTTGTGTGAAGAGTAGCAAGGGACTGTGGGTCCAGCAAGACTGTGAGGAGGGAAATGCAAGAGTGTACAACCAGTGGTGCTGTACTTTAAGGGATTTCAAGAGGAAATAAAGGCAAGGAGGAGGGGAACAACCTATGACTTTTTAGAGATGAATAGGAAACAGCTGGTTTTGTGACAGTTTGGACAGGCTTAGGTGTAGCAGGGTAAGATGGGGTGTTCATGGTGGAATGGCATTTTCATTAATGAGACTAATTTTAGTGGCATTGTCAGGACTTCCAGATGCAGGAATGGGAGGATATTATTGTCATCCGTGGTATAGGCAGTTTATAGTTTAAAATAGACTGAAAATGTTATGGATGGGGAAGAAGCAGAAGTATAAAAATATTGTTATAACCATTAGGAGCCCATTACAGTGTATTTTATGTACTGTAAATTATACACTCACAAAGATTTATAAATAGAACATGACATATTGTAAAGATGCAACATAATAATTGTCAGTTAATAGCTATAAATTATGGGCCAAATTTTGCTTTCATGTATACTTTTAAAAGCTCTCATTAACATCTCTGGATTATATATTTTAATAAGGATTTTTATCTAAGATTATACAGTTACTTTTACATATCCTTATTAAATATTGACTTGGCACTGATGTGTGGATGCGTTTGCGGAAATAAGCCATTAAACCTGAATTGTAGCTCTTAGCATCTAAGGCCCTGATGTTTTCTCTGGGTTTGATCCAGGAGTTTCCAAGAACTCCACATCTGGGACCAAGAGTTCAAATTGGTTTCCTGCAAAATTGGCTACCTGGATCAGGGCCAGAAATCTTGGCATTTTGCTTAAAGCTCCCCTTCTCTTTTCAGGGAAGGATCCTCTCTGTGTGGTCTCCGCCCCATTTTTAAATTAATTTCAATATGGCCTATTTTTCTGTTTGCTTTTGATAGATCATTTTGCAAAATATTGAATTCAGTAGGAGGTGTGTCTTCTTGTGACCACTTAAAATTCACTCACAGAAAAATGCCAGTAGTTGCCCTGTATAGGTAGGTGTGTTAGTTATTTAATGGCAACTATCACATTATAAGAATTCTCCTACATAGATCGATCAATCAAATCCTTAGCTGTTTTCCAGTAAACATCAGCATTGCATGGAGATTAATATCAAGAAAAAAAAAATATTCTTTGGATTCAATAAGGGTGAATTCTCCTCACTTTAATGCACTGAAAAGAGTCCATTTAAGTAATCATTAGAAAGCTTGATTTTAATGCTTAGATGTTAGCTAATGGAGCTTAATCATGCTTTGAACTGGGGCAAAACTGTGACAAGGGCTCAGTTGCTGTGAATGACACTGTATAAATAAAGATGATTACTTTAATGCACTGAGCAAATAATATTTCTCTGAATCTTGGTAGTGGTGAACATGAAGGAAGTCGGCGGATGAAAACAGAATTACTGGTGCAGATGGATGGCTTGGCCCGATCTGATGATCTTGTATTTGTTTTAGCAGCTTCCAATCTGCCATGGTAAGAGATCCAGAGAGTACATTTTGAATACATTTGCATGAGCTTCTAAGCGCAGATAAAGATTCTATTTAGACTCCTGCAGAAAAGCCTTGATACTTGGTTAAAGCATTTAAAGATTAATTTGGGGCTTTTACTTTTAAACTCCACGATTCTTGCTATTTGTGCCACATGAGAATAATCCATAATAAAGTCAACATATGCTGGTGCTACCAGCTGCTAATATTAAAAATGGAGTATTTGACTTTATAAACAAGTTATTTACTATGTTTAAGCTAAGAAGGATTTCAGCCTGGGACTGTAAGGTGCTTAAAACATCTAGTGCTTAGAAGGATACTCCACAAATAGGAATGTTGGGTTTTATTGGTATGAAATGTGACTTTTAAAAGTTGAGGGACAAAATTATTCACTTTCTTTTAAGATAATTTAGAATAGAAGATTAAATGGTTTATGGCTGGAACTAGTGCATTTCAACATGTTGGTTCTCAAAGCGAGCAGGACATGTATTGAGAACAGGACAGACAGAAAAGGATGAGGTAGGGAGGTGACATTTGTAGGGTAACGACTGTAGATGGTGGGGGGAGTGCAACAGCCAGCAGAAAATGGCCAGCTCATGTGCTCTCCTTGAACAGCGTCTCCCGTCGCCGCTGTCAGAGCCACCATGTTGATCTGGCGTGATCATTCATCTGGACTAGTGCGGTGTATCTCTTTCTTTCACGCAAAACATTATCAAATGGTTGGGAATAGTACGTGAGGAAAACAATGGCTGTTGGTTAAGCACATCTATGTTTAACAGTCTGATTTGTAGCTCATTAATAATTTTCCAGAGTACTAGCCCACACCTATGCAGGGAACTGAAACACATTGACGATGGGCTTGTTCTTAAAGTTTACATAGGTGTGGAACTAGTCTGTGAAATTCTGGCTGCTCCTGTCCTTGGGCTACCCATCTATGAAATCTTCAGTGGAAGATCATATTTTCCTACAGAAAAATCTGTACATTGAATGCAGAGAGCGGAACCTCAGCAAAGTAAACTGTGGAAATCATCTGTTTGGTCTTGGATGCAGATGCCCACAAAAAAAGATGAGTTAGGCATAAGAAGGATTTTTTTCTTTCTTTCCCTGAAGTATACACGAAGCAGAGAAATACAAGGTGTCTGCTGGGGGCAGGCTGAATGGTTGTTTTTGCAGTCTGCTGATCATCACAGCACTGAGGTCTGTCTTGATATCCATGTCCCTAAAGGTAAGCAGACCTAAGTGGCCCCACTCACCTCTCACATGTAGAGGTGGTCAAGAAGTCAGAAAAGGAGAAAATAGCAGTGCTGTTTCCAGCGAACTTCAAACCACTGTCTTGGAAATGTTTGGTGGAGCCCAACGGCAGGTGTTCCCAGGAATGACCCTGTGTGAGCAGTGGCTTAGCAGCATTTCAAGTGGTGGTACTTGAAATTTGACTGAAAGGCACATTTATTAACATGACGCTTGCCCAGCTCTGCAGTGTTGACAGCCACAGCACAAGGTGTCCAAAACTGCCTGGCAGCAAGGGAGGGCTCTGCACCCACAAAACCACAGGCTTCTTTCCAGCGTTGTTTTTCATGATTAGTGGTTTCTGGATGATTCTTGTGAGGTTGCCACAGGGAGGTGTGTTGGAAAAGCCTCTCTGTGTGACGGGAGGACTCCAGGCTGTGACCAGCAGGCAGTTGCTGGCTGTAGGGCATGTCCAAGTCTGAATGACCTAGTGTGTGTATCCCCAGCTGCTTGCTTTTGAGTACTTCTAAAAAAGCCTCATCTCCTAGTACAAATGCACTTCTCAGACATGACACACCACCTAATGTTCTCTCACAAAGTTTGTGGTAATGCTTTATTCCTCTCCTCAGCTGACCCCCTTTTTGGGAGACCTGGCTGAAAGGCCAAGGGAACAGGCAGAGAGAATCAAACAACAGAAGTGATGTTGGTACCTTGGAATTGAGGCCCAAAGTTAATATTTTCAGTCAATCCCATGTGGCCTGTAAGCCTGGCCCATTTCAAAACATGTTGGTGCTGAGAAGCCTGAGTCCTTCAGCGTACGTCACCTTTCATGAACTTTTGTGTTCACATCACATAATTTTGGCAGCTAAGGCAGAAGGCAAATTTCCCGTGCTATGAGACAGACAAGTCAACAGTGAAACAAGAGATGCAGAAATTTAGAGCATTCGAGAGACCCACAGCAGTCAGTGCTGTAAATTTAACATCTTCATCAGTGACTTGGACAATGGGACAGAGTGCACCCTTGAAGATGATACAAAACTGGGAGGAGTAGTTGATAGACCAGAGGGTTGTGCTGCTGTTGAGAGGGACCACGACAGGCTGGAGGAGTGAGCCCACAGGAATCTCGTGAAAGCTGAAGTGCAGGTGATCAAACACTGGCACAGGTTGCTCAGGGAGGTTGTGGAATCTCCATCCTTGGAGGTGCTCAAAACCTGACTGGATGTGGCCATGAGCAACCTGCTCTGGATGAGCCTGATTTGAGCAGGGGGTTGGACTACATGATCTCCAAGAGATGACTTCCCACCTTAACCGTTCTGTGATGTTGTAAAGCAAAGCAGGGGCCTAATTTAGTACCGTGAGAGTAATTCTAAGTATTTCTCTCTTCTGAATGTAAGAAAGCCTAAGGGATTGGTCTTCTAAGTTAGGCATAGAGGCACAGTTGCTGCATAAAAAAAAAAGTAGTGTGTTACCCTTCGTATCCCTCATTAAAGTTATATAAATTAGATTAAATACCTAAGAACCCATTTGAGAATTACACGGTTCTTCTCTCCTGTAAAGGTTGGAGTTTCTGTCCATCATGGATAAGAGATCCAGTCTGCCTCCTTCTACAAGCCTATCATTCGTCTACATTTTCTTTCCTAATACAAAATCTTATGTTTCCCATGTAGTCAGGGAAGGATGGTTCTGAGAGCCAGACATCTTACCTGCTCAAATCCAAGTGCCAAAATATTCAGAGGCTTTCATCTGCCTCTCTCTATGGCCTGCCCAGGGCTTTCAGACTCTTTAACTATAAGAATGGCTGTGTGAGCACCTAAAATTTTTGTAGAAATTAGATGTACAAGTTAGGCTGGTTCCTACCCTGGCCCAACAGTGCAAGTACAGAGCCATCACTGGCTTGTAAAGCCACAACAGAGCAGAGTCTGTGTGTTGGTTTGGAGGATTTATGCCTTGGACAACCTCATGAATTTAAATCAGTACAAAATCCACCCCATTTTGTGTTACAGTATCTACATGAAAGGAACTGAGCAGAATTTGATTTAATTATGTTCCAGTTGTGTAAGAAAATACTGAAAAATAAATAGCTACTGTGTGTGTAACAGTTAAGTTTGAAAGAGGATTAATGCATTAATAATCCATTTGGCTCTATGGTTCATTAGTAATATGCTATGAATGTTTATGTTATTGTAGCATCGTTACCCTTTTAGGAAGAGAAACTCTGAGCAGTGCATTGCACCTTTCTGTGGTCTTTTAAATTATCTTGTGAGTAGATAAGCTTCACATGTAATGCTGCAGCATGGCAGCATTAAAAAGGATCAGATGTCTTCAGAGGACCCACGTCTTTCTACTCCTGCGCACTGCTTTGAAAGGAAAAATTGGATATTTCAAATCCACTGAGGAAGAGTTCAGAGACAGTAACTGGTTTGAAGGTCACTGTGTGGCTGGTGGTGGATCTAGGGATCTTGGAGATGTGTCAGCGTAAGCATGAGGCTGACCTCTCTCTCGATGCTCCTGCAGAAAGAGATTCCTGCACGTGTCTTGTTAGTGTGTGTCTGTCTTATGCAACAATAAACTCTTTCTGGAAAGTCGTGCAAAAATTACAGAATGCAGTTTTGAGTGTTTTACACATTTGATTTTGGATCATTTTGCAATTACGAAGTGCTAATTTCAGAAAAATTGCTTCTTTGAAACATCAGAAATGTCACAGCTTTTTTAAGGTAGATCCAAAATGACAAGATTTCTATTCTGGGGAACTGCTCCCACATAAAACTTGCAAACTCCGTTGGTACAAGGGTGGCATCTGAGCTGTTGTGAGAAGCCAGCTCCCACTTTCAAAAGTTTTATACCCGAGAGCTTAGAATTTTCTTTTGGACTTTCTGAACTTTGCTCATGGGCAAGTTGGATTTTGGCCTCTCTTAAGCAAATCCAACCTTTAAAATGTGACTGAATCTATCCTTAGAAAGGTGTTTTAGGAGGATAGAAAGCTTGTGAAAGCCATGAGCATCTTATATCGTCCCTGAGGCTTACAACCTGAAGAATTTGGGAGCATGCTTCTAGAGAGGTTGGCAGGATTCAAACACCCTTTAACATCTCAGCTCTATGCTTACAGATTATTTTTATTACTATTACTATTATTTTTATTACTATTCAGTCGTACTGTAAGACCCCAGACTTCAGCTGCATAGGGATATTTCATGACAAAGTTTCAAAATACCTAGTACTGTGCAGTCCAAGGTTGTGGCTTCACAGCACAGCCCTGTGCTCGTGCAAACATTTGGTATTAAGCTGGATTTCAAGAGATTTGTTTAACTTGGATTTTTATTGATCATGAAAAAAATTAGTACCAAGCTGCTTTTAGATGAGTGAAAAGAAGCCTAAACAAAGCTCTTTACGCTGTCCTAAGCTGCACTGCAGCTATTGATCTTCCTCTTCAGGCAGTGCTTGCTGCCTAGCCTTACTACCTGCTGCTCATGAAGGCACTTCTTATTGACAAATTACTTGTTGAAATGATTCAACGTAATTAAATAAAACAAAGGCCTCATTAGTGAAGAAATAAAGTGTTCCTTACCCATGTAGTGAATGTTTCCTAATGTATTAGTGGATTTTACTTCCGTTGCAGTGCTGCTTGCTCCTCCCTCCCCAGCATCAGTGTGGGTGAGGCTTTGGTGCAGGCTGATAGACTCTTCCCTTCTGTCCGACCTGAGTCCTGTCATTGCCGTGAGTGCATGGCCAAGATGAGCTCAGAAAGAGGTGGGCTGCAAAATCCTAATCAGATCTGGGATTACCCCGTAGTGAGCCCTTTCCTTCCCTCTCATCAGGGAATGGTGTACGGTGGAGGAGAGCGGGAAGGGGATTGGAGAAGGACAGTGTGGGGAAGCCCTAAGAGGGGCAGGAGAAGGTGTGGAGTGAGAACAAGCCCCCAGCTTATGGGGGCCCTGCCCAGGCCTCTGCACTGGGGGATGGAAGGTGGGAAGGATGAGAAGTTTCCTCATTCTTGATGCCTTTTCCTCTAGAGCACCACAGTGATGATTGCTCTAGGCAGGGATTAACTATGGACCAGTCAGTCCTTGTTGCTGTTTCTGGGTTCACCTCTGGAGTTGTTGAGGTCCCTTCATTTCTGCCTAAAATGCATTTGTTACCCTTCTCCCTTCTGGAAATGAAAATAGGTGTCTGTCTTGTTTGTCGTCATGAAATTTGGGAGTGATAACATGGCATGATGCATCCTGATGTCAACCTGGGGGAGCTCCAAAAAGTCACCCACTTATAGGTCCTGTACAGCTTTGTGTATCCTTCATGAGCATTTCTTAATACTGTTATTAGTTATTGTTTCAGAGAATATTTTGTTTGGCTCAATGCTTATTATTCTATTCTGATTACTGTCACTTAATTTGATCACTAACAAAACAATTTAGCAAACAACCTAAACACTTCAGATAGCAAAAATGTGATGTCTTTATTTTGCTCTTCAACCAACAAGCAGGGTCACTGTAACCTTTCTGGATAAACAGAGCAACTTCTGTGCATCATCGGATTTATTTACAGAATGTGGCTAGGGAGCTCATGAAACTGTGATCTTGGAGGGACACCCCAGGAATGCTCTGAAGTAGGAAGAGTGATGGAAAATGTCATCATTTAGAGGATATGTGGGATATTTGCAGAGGCTCTGGCTGTGGTTGTCCTTTCCCTGCAACAGTGGTTTAGAGTATCTACGCAGTCATCTCTAAAACCCTTAGGACTTCTGCACTGTTTACACAGAGGATGGTAATAAGGGTAAACAACAGCCAAGGGGTTGGTCAGCCAGAGAATAATTATTTCCAGCCAAGCAAAGCAATTTTGAGGAGAAGTTGAACTGAAAAATACATTTGGAAGGTCAGCAGGGACTAATGTGGTTCTTTGTCCAGTCTGGGTGGGATCCTGTGCAAGAGGAGTTGTACTGAATGTTGGACGGCATCTTAAACAGCCTAAAAATATCAGTAATAACAATATGTCAGCAGCCATTGATTAGCAAACTCTGGTATTTACTTCTGAGGCCTTGATTAGAAGGACTGGGATAGATCTGAGCGAGTTCCTATTGTCCTTTGAGTTCCTACTGATCTGTTTTTCTCATCTCCACTTTAATTGCCCTTGGCTCAGCGCATGTGGAACAAGCTCTCCCAAACTGAGAGCTCTTTTTTGGGGAGAGGGATGCTTCTGCTGTGGCTGAGCTGGGAGCCAAGCACGCTGAGGTCTGTCAAAAACCTATTCAGGCACATAGGTGGAGATTTGGGAGCCCATTTTTGCCATTCTTTATCAAATACTATGTCAGTAGAAAACAATTGCTATTAAAAAATAAGGAGAAGTCACCAAAGGTGACAGAAGTAGGCTCTGTTGACATGCTACAGATCCAACTTGAGCTGGCTTTGAGCTCCCTATAAATTAAAGAGGAGTTTCATACAAGAAGCGTTGCTTGAATGTTGACTTTGCTGGCAAAAAGATTTCACCAGGGAGTCAGGAAAGGTAGGGGCAGGTTTATTTAAGTGTAGCTATGGTCCCAGATTGCAGGTGCAGTCCTCCAACAGCTGGCTCCTTCTGCTCAGCTGACAAGGGTGGCACTGGTGCTTAGTGCTTGTGTTTTTCTGCCTGCACAAGGCATGTGGAAGTGTTTTTCCCCTTGATGAGTGTTTCTCGGCAGAGGTTTGAATTATATTTTAGAATGAAATAACAAGCCCGTGACTGAATGGGGCCAGTAGAGGAAGATTGGTACAGCACTTGGAGGGATAATAGCTCAGAGCAGCTCCTGAAAGACACTGGAGACTTATGCGTGAGTAAATATTTTGCAGCAGCTATTTCTTGTTGAAAATTATGTGGATGACTGGGGTACCTGTAGACGATTCCCATTACACAAGTGACATGGGATGAACTGGAGTAGGAATTTGTATTGAGTTATTTGGTTGTGTTAGATGTAAACAACTGAAAAGCACTTGGGGGAAAAAAACTAGATTAAAATGAACTGTTTGGATGTGTGTCTGAAAGAAGCTGGCATGCTGGGCGAGCCAGGACTCCTGACACTGATAGAATCTGTGGCACTGGCAAGAAGAACTGTTTCTAGGTGGTGATGAAATGCATTGAGAAAGGAACAGAAAGAAATATTCATTTTTCTTTCAAGCTTCCTTTGTGCATCACTAGCAAGTAAAAATGAAGAGTAGTCCCAATCTTTGGTATTTTACCTTTTTTTCTTTTTTTTAGGCAAAACATCGGTGTTGATGTTGACAGCATCATCGTTTTTGGCTGACACATTTATCCAGCCTGTCCATCCTTCACATGATTTTTTATAAAGATACTTGCCTTTGTGGCTGTATTATTTATATTTTGTACTGCAGGAGCAGTCTCAGATTGACATCGTGTTCTGCCATAAACATGGTGCTCACATCCAAGACCTTCAATTTGTATTTTATACCTACTAAGCATCCCTTGCAAAGTAGCAGTTAATTAGGCCTGACAGTGCCCCAGACAATTTGTAGCATCTCCTTAATAGCAAAGGGAAAAAGGGAGATGTTGTTCCTGATGAGACACGCTGCAGGTGGGTACCAGAGCCAGGGAAGAGAACTACAACTTCTGATTGTTACTGTTAAGACTCACTGTCACAAGCCAGTGTATTGCTAACACACTGAACAGGAATACACTGGGTAATTAACAGCCCCCACTTTTTTTTTTTTTTTTTTTAAATTACATTGACACAGTTACAGATGGGGTTAAAAAGTGTCAGCCCCCATGAGACAATTCCTCTCCTCCTTTGCTTTCAGGGAGTTAGATTCTGCCATGCTGCGGCGGTTGGAGAAGAGAATTTTGGTTGACCTCCCAAGTAAAGAGGCACGGCGGGTGATGATCCAGCACTGGCTGCCCCCGCTGAGCAACACTGGAGGAGTGGAGCTGAGAACGGATCTGGACTATGGCTTGCTGGGCCAGGTGAGCCTGCATCAGGGACAGCGCCCAGGCGGTGACTGAGGTCTCTCTGTGTGGGAGCCATTGTGGCAGAGGAGGTCCAGAGGGTTGGGATAGCACCTCTGGGCACAGCAGCTGTGAGATATGGAGCTGGGGGAAGCACCTCAGCTCAGTTTGAGGCTCCAGCCATAGGGAGACCAGCGAGGCACGAGGCTGAGCATTTCACCAGCACGTTCCTGGTTGTGGAAATAGCTGGTTTCACACAGCTCTGCTTGCAAAATGGTGTCTTCTGATCCTCTCTGTTGGGCCAGATTTTCAGCCTTAAATACAGGGAGACTTCCAGCAACAGTATATTTTATCACTCTTCTCACCAAGCTGGGAGCACTTCCAATTCATCGGGGTAATGAACAGTTAATTGTGTAGGGAAGGTTTGTCACAGCTCCACTGCTGCAGGAGAAAAGAGCATTTAGACAGTGAAGAGATTCACTAGATAGGAGGCTTTCTTCATTTAGCCCATTGTCACATCCTCAATTCTTTGAAAATATCTTAGAGCTTACCCAGTTGGCCCCTTTTATGTCTGTTCACAGAGACAATACTGCTAAGTTTTTGTTTCATAAGCACTACTAAGGAAATATAGTTTAAAAATGTTAACAGGAGAGCCAGGAACAGACACAGAAGAGCAGGTTTTATTTGATCTACAGAAAATTGCCTTTAGAAAGAAAATGCCCAGTGTTTTCCTTGCTCCTACAAGGTAGTGTGGGCACTCAAAACAAGAACAAGCTGCATAATATTGAGGGGAGTATGTACATAAAAATATATATGTGCACATATATATATTTTATACAGGAATAGACTTTACAAATATTTTAGATAAGACAGATATGCTTGTAAATTCCATTCCTGACCGATTTTGAAGCTATAATATATCATTCACAGGAAACAGACGGGTACTCCGGCTCAGATATAAAACTCGTCTGCAAGGAAGCAGCCATGAGACCAGTGAGGAAAATTTTCGATGCTCTTGAAAACCATCAGCCAGGTACCACAGCTCCGAGTGGAGAATCGGGTCTGGGAAACACTGATCCACCGCTGTAACTCTAGACATTATAATGTTAACCCCAGCAGGTGGAGCTCTGTTATCTGCTTAGGAAAGTTTTAAACTACATTTCTGAAACATCTGCCTAAGCTAACATTTCTGAACATGTCTTCTTTTAAAGCTGCCGGTATCTGTGCTCTGTTCACAGATATCAATTTTTCCTTATCTCACTAGGATTATAATTTTGGTTTTGCATATTGTGTTGCATTTGGCAGAGACATAAAAGAATGGTTTTTGGTAATAATAACAGTATTTAATCAATTCTCTTCTCTTTAGGCAACAGTAATTTAGCCACAATCCGATTAGACACAATCACAACAGCAGATTTCCTGGATGTGATCACCCACACCAAGCCATCAGCAAAGAATCTAAGCCAGAAGTACACAGCTTGGCAGAGAGAATTTGAGTCAGTTTGAAAAGAAAAAAACCCAAAGACTGAAAACTTCCAAGACTTTTGCTATCCACAGTGGCATCACCATGCCTCCAAAGGATTGAATGGTGATGGGAAGAAAGTGCTGTTGTTTCCAGGGAAGAGAATGTAGTAAGAAATGTCAGGGGGAAATCTTCAATTCCAAAATTTAATTAGGGGGTGGTGGTGGTGGTGTTCTTTATTTTTTTTAATTAGCCTTTTTAAGTGACCATTCAAAAAACATTCTTCATGGAAATAATGTAATGGCAGTTGCTATGTTAGGAAGACTCCAGCCTTAACTTTATGTATAAAGACTTAGAGATTGCTTGCTTGTTATTTACAACAGTTGTTTACAGGTTTGGAGTAGAACTGGAGCAGAAAGCTTGTTCAGAACAGATATTAGCGTTCCCTTTTTGAGAGTAGAGCATCACAACCAGCATAGCTTTACCAGCAGAGACCTGCACCCTTTTCAATAAAATGTAAGTCACTGCTTTCAGTGAAATTCAGGTAAATTTTGTTGTTTGTCATTATTTTCAGTTAAGCTCAAAGCTTTGACGTGCCAAATGTATGACTTTCCAAGGTGAAAAAGGCAAGGAATGACAGGGACTTGCAGACAGTGTAGAAAATCAGTGGATTTAGGCTAATCTAACTAGAAACTGGATTGGTCGTTCCCCACTGGTTTGCAGCCAGCCATAAAACACACAGAGCGAGCCTTTGCAGTGCAGGGTAAATACCAGCCAGGCTGGAGACTCTTCTGCTTAAAAGCCTGGGTAAGCAGTCAGGACTGCCACTGTCCTGCAATCTTTAAATCTGAAACTCTTAATTAGTCATTTTTTCAGGCTCTCAGGTCTCTTTCCTGCCCCACTCTTACCCTCCCTCTTGCTTGGCAAGACACTTCTCTTCACAGCTCTGCCGGGGTTTTCCTCGCAGGGGCTTGTGTGCAGCTGCTGTTTCAAGTGCCACGTCTCGCATCAATGCCCCGTGGCAGACAGTCTCTGTGCCAGCGTCACTCGGGTTGTCAGAAGTTTTGATGGGTGACCTCTTCACAGGGTTCTGCTTACAGATCTCCCACCTCCTGAACCTGACTCTTGACTACAGGCCAACGGCCTCCCTGACGTACTCCAAGCAGAAACCAACACACATTCAGAACCGTTGCCATGAGCACTTAGATGTGTGAATTTATTCAAAACTGCAGGTTACAACCGATGAGGGCACACAAATGGGATTTTATTCCGGGGGGGGGTGTTTACTGTTTCTTCTGCTGAGTCTACTCCATTCTGTCTCAGACAGAGATCAGATCTGATCCGATCAGAGTGCAGATCAACACTCTTTGATGTAAGGAGAGCTTCCCATTCTTCATCACAATGATTTTTCTTAACAAGAACAAGCATGGCTCATTAACACAAAACTGTATTTTCAATAAGGTTAATCCTCCAGTAATGTATAATTACAATCTAATAATTTAACACTCAGGAGCACTGTAAAACAACTGTAAAGGACTTTGATTATTACGGTTTACAAATGGACCAGAAAAGCTATTTACCATCATTACAAAGTTGGTTCATATCGGTGGATTCAGCACATAGGAAAAACATTGCAAACTATGGAATTAAATTTCATTTTACAGCTCTGCTAACCAACTGTGTAAAAACTGGAATCTGTCCCCATGGCTTGTGAAGGATTTTTCCCATAACATTAAAAAGAAACAAAAAGCTCCAACAATAGTGAAATTTTGCAACTACAGCATTAATAGGACCCTGCTGAAGTCTAATTTCAAAAATTCACAGTCTCTACGGCATTTAATACCAGAGTTTTGTTTCTGTACCATTCTTTTTAATAACAGCATCTAATTAAAACATCTGTAAAATGGTGACAGTTTTAATTTTATGTAAAATCTGAAAAACAAAACCCAGGATCTGTTCTAATGAGAGGAAAGATATCAACAGTAGTTAATATTAAACAATGGTGATATTTTAATTTAAAAGTCACTGCTAAACGTACATAATCTCTACCTTTAAATTAGAGGAGAGCTGAGACCTACTCTGTGAAATCACTACAGGCTGACTAAGACTCTGTTAGTCTTTGAGGTTTATTTACTTGAGTATTTCCAGTAGGTTTTGTCAGTTTAGCTTATTCAGCAGAAGAAAATGACACTTTCCAGACAGGGCCTTTCATCACTTCTGGAAAACTGAAAATAAACAGAACTCTGCCCTGTTCCTGGCATCTTTCAGGAAAGGGGCTGTGCTGGTTGTAGCCTTCCTGTCTCACCTGCTGGGTACCCACGGTCCCTCATCGCATCCTTGTGAAATTACTACAGGAAAGGGGTTTTGCCACGACTGCGCCGGGGCCCTGCCACATCTCGAGTGGAAGGGGCTCACGGCTTGGCTTCTGATGCCACGCATGCACTGACTGGTCCTGTGACCTTAATTTTGAAAGCAAGAGTAAAGGAAATGATATGACACAGATGGTTTCTTTGAAGTAACCACTCCCTTTCTCATAGCAGATGCTCTAGGATGTGTTCCACTGCCTCTGGGAAATTCTCACAGGTTAAGTAAGGAGCCGGATTGATTCTGTCTTCATCTGCTGGTCGATATTTACCTGTAACAGATTAACAGAAAGATTCATTTACCAAGCTCTTCTGAGTATCCTTTTTTTCCCTAAAAATTACAGCCTCCTCATATCACTAACAACCAGAACCCATCTGAGATTCTCCTGCAACAACCATCCCACAAGCCTTCCCTGAGCAAACACTGAGCCTCACTGCAGTTCCTCCAGGGATGACTCTGGTTCAAAATTAGCGTCACTCCACCGTGCTGGCACTACGTGATTCAGATCTTCGTGTTGCAGGGTCTTGAAATAATCACACTATCACCTTCCATTCTGTTTTTTATGAGAAAAGGTAGGATTGCTTGCTTTCATTTTCAGCATAATGGGTTGTGTGGCACAAGCAGCTGCCACCTCAGAAGGACATTACCCAGTCCACGGTATCATCAATAACATCGGTAATACCTGTCAGTCCCTTAAGGTTCCACTTTTGTCTGAAGCAAAATTACTTTTATAATTACAAGTGTAATTACCAGGGAACATCACCAGAGTTCCTGGATGATCAGAGGTTACATTGCTATGCCAATACCAGTCAATCTGAGATGTCATAGTAACAGTTCTATTCTTTGATTAGTGCTCAGGATTTTAAGAGTGATTAGAGCAAAAAATTCGCACCTACAAGATCAGCCGCCCCCATCTATTACTTTACATCATCCTCCTGCGTTTGGGGTCTCTGCTCTAGCCCTGTTGTTGAAACATCAAATATGATGGCCTATCCTGAATTAATCACAATCCACTGGGTGACAGGCTGCCACCCTGCAGCCGAGGAAATGCATCTACTGACTTCACCCCAAAATGCACGTACTGATGGACTTGGGGTCTCCTGGCATCCCCTCGGTGTACAAAGGCCGGAGTTGGGGGGCTTCTACAAGGCACCAGGGCTTGGAGCAAGATCACTGAATGCCCCATTGCCTCCTGCAGCGACCACTCCATCCAGCACTTACCCGTGCGTACCAAAATCCCACGCATGCCCGCGTTCTGGGCGCCACCGACATCATCCCTGCAGTCCTGGGACAGAACAGATCAGATGGTTAGCGGTCACAGATGCTGTTTCTTAAGATTTTCTCTGCCTTGCACCTCACTAACCAGTCACTTAAAAGCTGCATGGAGTCAAATCATTTAGCTGCCTGTTAGAAACACTGTCACAGGAATGGTTTACTACCTGCTTTTTTGCCTGATCAAACTAGCAACTGAAGTAAGAGAACTAACCCCACAGACTACATGTTAAATCCTGGAAGTTTTGACAGCTCAATTTTCACCCCTTGTTTAATCCCAGCACTTTTTGGAAGATCAGCTCATGGCATCTGGGAGGCACTACACAGTGGAGATAAGCACTGTGTTAAGAGGCGGGTGATAAAAGTATTTGGGCCCCACGTACATCACCGATCATGATGGCCTCCTCTGGAGCACAGTCAGTCCCTCGCAAAGCTTCCAGGAAGAAGGTTTTTTCTGGTTTCCCCACCACTGTCGCTTTGGTGTCTGTCGCATATTCCAGCCCAGTTACAAAAGGCCCAGGTCCCAGAGCCAAGCCATCCTTTTTCTTGAAATACCTGGCTTTATGTATAGCTATAAGAGGAGCACCATCCAAAATCAACCTAAAGAATGAGTGGAGAAGAAAATACAAAAGTCATATTAAAGAAATATTTACAGCTGAAGGCCTCAACTGGCCTTTACCAACTTTTAATTTAAGTTGACAACAAAACTCCCACTGACTTCCATGAAGCCCCAAATTACAATACAAGCTAGCATTCATTTTCAGAGTTAAAGTTCCCTCTTTTCCTCATAAACAGCTAGTAAATCCCCAAAATAAAGAATTCATTATCTTGAGGATTTTAACACACAACTATTTTTAAATCCTGTCTATCTTTCTCATGGAATTAGGTCCATTCCTCTAAGCAGCCTCACTTTTCACTAAGGCAAACACCGTATCATTAGAAGCCATCTGATTTCTCCAAGTAAGTATTTTAAAATACATTAACTACAGGTAGTGGTTAGAGGTAGCAATTTAATGGCCACAGCCTTAATCTCCTTGCCTGGGCTGAGAACACAGCAGTGCTTTCAGGATGCTGCAGCCCAGCAGCTCTTGGGGGTCCTGGTATCACCTCTAACAGCCGAACAGCTATGTGTTTCCAGGTGAATCCCAACTAGAAGGTGAATCACTTTATCTTAACTTTCTATTTTAACGTTGGAGGAATTACAATATCAAGTTACACAAAAAGGCATGAAGGTATTAGGGGGATTCATGTCCCACCAAATTCCCGAGTCAACAGTGCTATTACTATGTCTTTTAGAAACAAAACTGGATTTAGGCTCCTTCCTATTGGGAACCAAAAATTCCAGGTGGAAGATAGTTCAAAGCAACAAGTTGGTGGATTCCAAATACTTGTGAGTACAATAAAAGCATCACTGAATAAGGGTCATAATGCACAATATGGCAGTGCTGCAGGAGGGTCTTGGCTGGGCACAGCACCTGGGAGCCTCATGAAGAGAGTGCAACACTGGTCTGAGACTGGGAACTGCTGCCTGCCCAACAGCTGACATCCTCCCACCTTCCATGGACTCACTTCTGCCCCGCCAAGAGAGTGTGTGTCCTCCTCGGGGTTCCACAGACACCACTGCTGCCTGCCGGCTGACCTACCTGTAAAAACCTGCACAGGACATGGGATCATCTGGAGCAGGTGGAAAAATGTAATGGAAGAAGTAATTAAGAAACTGCTGTTGCCCCACCAATCTCAATCAGCACCTCCTGAGCCTCGCTGCCCTGTCAGTTCATGTCTACTTGAGGGCTCCTGTCTCATAAAACCCTTGTGGGAGGTAGCGTGTCTTGGTAGCACACACAGTGCAGGAACAGTGGACCTGGGACAGCAAAGTAATAAATGGAAGGTTAAGAGACCTTGCTTTCACAGAATCCAGACCTAATCTTTGATTCTTCCATTGCTGCTGCTGTGCTAGAGGAATCCTCTGGGTACTGCCAAGCACAGCAATGTTTCCGCAGTCCTCCTGTGCCCCAGCCTCAGCTCCAGTGGCACAAAGCCCTCCAGAGAGCATCTGTAAAAGTTGAGGTAACTACCACCAAACGCTTCCCATTCGATTTTACAGCACCTTCTTTGGGTACTGAAGAAGCTCCAGTCTTCATCACAACAGGGAGGAATGTAACTAGCAAAGCCGGACGAAAAAGAGGGGAAATGCTGGCCGTTACCTTGAGGGCAGAAAGAAGGATTTACAAAATGCCTGATTTACAAAAAAGCACCTTTAAGAAGACAAACAACATCTTGCTTTGCCCCTTCACTGCCTTTCTGGAGCTCTGCTGTGACTCTGCTCAAAGAGGCTGGCTTAGGTGAGCTGTGTGCTCCTTGGAGGACATCTGCTCCTTCCCACATGCTTGCAGAGCAGCCTGGGTACTCTGAGCAGTACATAAATTATAATATTTCATTTCACTTAATTATCACAAAACAATTCTATTGAATCAATGAGTTCCAAAGCAAGCTCAACAAGAAGGGAGCTAGCATGTGAGTCTGTGAGCAGCCAGATACGTTCACGATGGAAGGATGCCTCTAGGATACAGAAAAATTTAATTTGACAGCAGCACCACAACCACTTACATTCAGCAGTTTGTGGGAAAGATCTCACCTGAGAGAATTCTTTTAAATGTGGCATCAAAATCCCACGTATACAAAAAGAGAAATTTAGTCTCAGTCATTTCAATTGGTGCCTAGAGAATGGCCTTACTCTGTGTATCTCGTTTTGGGACTCATATTGGGTTAGATTTACCTAACCCAATGTTGGATATCAACTGAGTAGTTGCCTACCAGGTAATTAGTCAGCCTGGGCTCTTCAGAGTCAGTGGAGAGGAAAAAGCACTTCTAGGGCACAGTTCAACTGTCCTATTTTAAGCACGACTAGGGGAAAAATGAATGATGCCTTACAAGCACCTCCTCTCTCCCTCAGGAGCCCAGGTCACCAGCTCAGATGCAGGTATCAGCACTGTAGGTATCTGCATTTAATCAGATTCACCTTAAAGTTTTGCTATGGGCAATACAAATCCCAAGTGACTTAATTATCTGATCAGTAAAGGACAAGCAATACAGACATGGCATAAGGCTCAAGAAGAAGAGAGTGTGGCCAGTAGTTAGTATTTCCATTAGACCAGACAAAACTGACACCAGAAAACCAGTTTACCCTCAGTAGAGGACTGGGGGAAAAACCCTGAACAAGTCAGTAGAGATCAGAGAGCGCCCATCTCAGGGCCTCTGCCCAGCCTGAAACACAGGACCAGGAAAACACCAGGCAAATTCAGAACAGATTCACAGAGGATGAAATCTTCCTCCAGGCAGACAAGCCAGCCAGGCGGCTGGGAATGCGAGGCGAGCTGAAGGATGCAGCCACAACACCCTGACAGCTCAGGACACAGACTCCCAGGCAGCTGCACTCCACACTACCCTCTCAGGCAGCAAGGCCACACCGCTCCCACAGCCGGGACACCGACTGGATTTGGCCTTCAGCACCTGCCTTCCATCACCAGAGCTGTTGTCCAAATCCAGCCTGGGACAACCTCTCCCACCTCCACAGAGCCAGTTCTGCAGGCC